TGCTGAACCAGATAATTTGCCAAATTATGGTAAATCAGTATTGTCTAGCAGCATTACCAACACTTCCACTGCTTACAGGGCTCTTAGAAGACCTTTAGGGGTAAATTAGAGCTAAATAACAGCACAGAATATTGAGAGCCAGGACTGGTGACTGTAAACAAACTTTATGGGAATGCAGGAAATTTGGTCAAAGCCATGAAAGTGGACATCTGGCTAACTAAAATTAGCCACAGATGTTTCTGGACCAGAGAGTGCTGGACTAGCGAGGTTAAACCTGTACAGCAAAGTTACTTGCCAGAAAAGAGTGATTGTTTCTCTTTATAAACTTGTAGTGTAACTGCAAATCTCGGTTAAGAACGAAGACCTGTGTTTGCAAAAACCCACTCAAAATTATCATTAACTTTAGTCTTGACATTCACTATACAGTATTCCCTATTCCTAATAGACCCAGGCTATGTCTACATTACAAAGATAAATCTGAAAAAGAAACTTGAGTATCTTTTTCCAATTTACTTCCGAAAGAGGCTTTTCTGAAATTTGGCCCATATACACAGGTCCAAATTTTGGAAAAAACCCTCTTTAGGAACATCCCTTCTTCTTCATAAAATGAGGTTTACAGGGATACCGAAAAATGTGTCCGCTTTTCTGACATTTTTTTTCGGAAAAGTAGATGTGTTCCTTGGACGTGGCAGAGCTTTTCCGGGATACCTCTGGAGTTTAGACATAGCATGTGTGTTATAAACCTAGATATGTTAAGTTACTAGTATAATTGTTTTGGGTCAACAAATCTTTTATTTTCAGAGTCAAATATATATCCTCTAAAATTATGAAAATGAGGCACATGATGCTAATGTATCAAATTAACACACAACAAAATAATTAGTGTAAGCATAAAACTAACTGTCTGCTTGGAGGTAGTTTAAGTCACCCTCAACCCTTTCTATCTCAGATCCTAGAATTCTGTAACATGTTAGGTTTTAGTTTTTAGTCATGAGGAGGAAAGAATTCTTTAGCAAGTGTTAATAAATTATGCAGTGCAAACTTTTCCACATCAGCCTACAGGTATGCCTCTGCCTTGCACCGTAGATGTTCATAAACAGCCTTTTGCAGGTTCAATCCTTAAACTCTATTCAGGCTAGCAATAGCTGTCTGACTCTGTGCAGCACTAAATTGAGCCAGATTTGAGCTAACAATCCAAAGGTTTGGAGGTTAGAAATGGCTTGGATGTCTCAGAGCTTAATGCTGTGTATTGTGATGCACTCACTCTTAAGTAGCAATTGTCTAATAGTGAGTGTAGGAGAGTCCCTTGGCAACAACTATAAAGCAAATATGCCAAAATTTCCAATCCTGAGTGCCTAAAGGTAGGCTCAAGATTCTGTATTTCAGCATCTAAATAAATTTAAAAAAAAAACAATTTTTAAAGGTGCCGGCTTCAGTGAAATTTGGGACTAGACATTTCTTAAAATTATTATTCCTCTAGATAGCCAGTGAACCTTTGTCGAAGCAAAAACACGCTCCTTTGTGTTTAGGCAGCTAACAAGCAGCTTTATTAATTAATAAAGCACAGCATGAGCCAAACGTGGTCACAGCAGAGCCAGACCCAGTAAGGCTACTAATACAATCAATCCTAGTATCTTTATACCCTTAGCCAAACAGTCTGACGTCAGGGCATTCAATTACAGAAATCCTCAATTAAATTTGGAAACACAAAGCCTTATCAACAAGATGGCGGACAGGTGCGAGGGAGTACATCTCCTGTCCCAACCAGCCCAATTAACACATACCAATAGCCCATCCTGTAGGCCTCTTCTCACGGGGTGACAGAAAGTTCACTCTGGTCTACGTGCTTGAGAGAAAAGCTGAAATGGTTTCTGATATACAAGATGGCTTCTAGCTAAATATGAAAATGGTTTCTACAGCTTCTACACCAGCACCCGTTCACTTAGCACCTGGGAATTTCCAAGGGCCTCCGTTTCCCCAGCTATAAACTGGAGACAATAACCCTTTGTCTGCTGATCTTCAGGGCAGGAAGTTTTCTTGGGCAGCCTCCAGCCTAAATCCGGAGTGATCACACTGACACCAATGGAGTCCCAGCTGGAGCAGTGGTGCTGCGTTTGGGGAAGTCCCGGACTATTGGAAAAAGGCAAATGTAGAGCCCATCTTATTTAAAAGAGGGGAGAATTCAGGGAACTACAGACCGGTCAGCCTCACCTCAGTCCCTGGAAAAATCATGGAGGGGATCCTCAAGGAATCCATTTTGAAGCAGTTGGAAGAGGGGAAAGTGATCAGGAATAGTCATGCCTGACTGACCCGATTGCCTTCTATGGCGAGGTAACTGGATCTATGGATGAGAGGAAGGTGGTGGATGTGATATACCCTGAGTTTAGCAAAGTTTTTGAGATAGTCTCTCACAGCATTCTTGCCAGCAAATTAAGGAAGTCTGGATTGGATACATGGACTGTAAGGTGGCTAGAAAGCTGGCTAGATTGTTGGGCCCAACAGGTAGTGATCAATGGTTTGATGTCAGGTTGGTGGTTGGTTTCAAGGGAAGTGCCCCAAGAATCGGTTCTGAGGCTGGTTTTGTTCAACATCTTTACGAATGACCTGGCTGAGGCGATGGATTGCACCCTCAGCACGTTTGCAGATGACACTAAGCTAGGGGGAGAGGTAGATCTGCTGAAGGGCAGGGATAGGGTCCAGAGTGACCTCGACAGATTAGAGGATTGGGCCAAAAGAAATCTGATGAGGTTCAGCAAGGACAAGTGTAGAGTCCTGCACTTGGGACGGAAGAATCCCAAGCATTGTTACAGGCTGGGGACCGACTGGCTAAGTTACAGTGGATGAGAAGCTGGAGAGGAGTCAATAGTGAGTCCTTGTAGCCAAGAAGGCGAATGGCATATTAGGATGCATTAGGAGCAGCATTGCCAGCAGATCCAGAAAAGTGATTATTCCCCTTTATTCTGCATTGGTAGGGCCACATCTGGAGTATTGTGTCCAGTTCTGGGCCCCCCACTACAGAAAGGATGTGGATACGTTGGAGAGGGTCCAGCAGAGGGCAATAAAAATGATGAGGGGGCTGGAGAGCACATGGCCTACCAGGAGAGGCTGAGGGATTTGGGCTTCTTTAGAAGAAGTGAAGAGCGAGGGGGGATTTGAGAGCAGCCTTTGACTACCTGAAGGGGGTTCAAAGAGGCTGGAGAGAGGCTGTTCTCAGTGGTGACAGGTGGCAGAATAAGGAGCAATGGGGGAGGTCTAGGTTGGATATTAGGAAAAGCTATTTCCCTAGGAGGGTGGGGAAGCGCTGGGCTGGGTTCCTTAGGGAGGGGTGGAATCTCCATCCCTAGAGGTTTTTAAGTCCTGGTTTGACAAAGCCCTGGCTGGGCTGATTGAGTTGGGGTTGGTCCTGCTTTAGGCAGGGTTTGGACTCAATGACTCCTGAGGTCTCTTCCAGCCCTGGGATTCTAGGATCCTCTCCCTAAGTCTGCTTCCCCGGATGGGCGCCTCCTGCTTGTTTAAACAGCGACACCGGCTGGCAGGCAGCGCAAACTTCGGGACAGGCTGCCGCGGGCGTGGGCAAAGGTCTGTGAGCCGTGTCCCCGTACAGCGCGCGGAGGAGGGGCTGGCGGGAGCGGAGCCGTCGGGCGGCGCTGCAGAGAGCGAGCGGAACAGGCCCCGGGAGCGAGGAGTGTGGCAAGGGGGCGGGGTGGGGAGTTGGTTACAGTGGAGCAATTTCTTCCAGCTGCCCAAGGCAGCTTCCTGATTCTCTCTCTGCTTGGCGGAGGCAGTG